TTTTGCTGCATTGCTTAAAGCGCTGCAAATGTGCAGTTCCCCATGAAGTATTTGGCATTTTTGCTCAATATGCTTTTGACACATCAAAAAGATATGTTAAAACTTAATTAGAATATGTTGAATAAAGTGTCGAACTGCGTTTAGTACTGTTATAGGAAGGTAGGATTGTATCTGTGTGTTGCTTTTGCAAGCTCAATGCAAAAGCATATGTGAGCGGTAAACGGCACAGCCAGGTTAGACGAGGCTGGAGGTGAAGAAGAACTTGAAGCAACATCTGTGGTGGCATAAAAACATAATACTAAAGCTGCTGTTTAATAGAAGTGTTGACTTGGGCTAGCCATTGCATTATGTGTTATTACAGGGAAATCTGTTATGAGATTAGAACACGGGTCACGCGCGGCACTGTAGTTGTCCGCCGCCGGTGTCGGTAACCAGTATCGAAAGAAAGAAAAGCTCAGTAAAGGAAAAATATCAATGCCACAATGAAATTCGAACCCGGGTCCGCTGCGTGCCAGCTCAGTATTCTACCGATGAGCCAGGCCAGTTTTTGGAACTCGTTTCTAAACTGGCCTTAGGAAAGCTCTATGTGGGGAAAGGAATCTCGTTAAGAGGAGTAACGAAGCATTTTAGAACACCAAAAATATAGCCAGGCATCACACCATGCAAATTTCATGAAGTGAGTCATTCAATGCTCCAACCCATTAAAAAACTTGTTCTTAATCACCTATTAATTGTGGTGCATACCCATTTCAGGCATAATTTTTTATCATCGTCAGCCGCTGCATAAAAAGTGTGCACAAAACTCCTTGCAAGTCTTTAGCGGATACCATGCTTCTGCAAGGAATGATGAAGAATAGCATAGTGAACGCTGCCCCACTACACAAAAGTTATGATTTTTATGACGTAGTTGGTACCCAGCAGTGTGCTTGTAGCAGTTAACCAAAGAGTGTTTAGAAAGGACGCTCTGCTAGCTTTCGCTGTGACTGTGCTACGAGTTCCACGCTGGCCTGGTGTTTTTTCTATACGTGTTACATCATGCACTCTGCCTCTTGTGCTTGTGCAGGCCGGCATGCATGCTGTGCGGGAGAATCGGTACGTGGTTCTGGCCAAGGATTTCGAGAAGGGCTACAAGAACAACATCAAGAAGGACGAGTCCGAGCACGAGTTTTACAAGTAGAGGACGATGTGAGTGTGCTGTGTGGCATTAAAGAGAATGAATGGAAAAAAACCAAAAAACGTGGAGACAGTGGCGTTCACAGGTACAGCTTTGAATATGTTCGTCAAGCGTAAGCTAATTTCTGTGCTGTTTATTTTTTTTTGGTTGTCTTTATTTTGTTATTTGTGCAAGTTCGCCAATCATTTGTGCAATTCTTACATCAAGAAGGCCACATCGATAGCCCAAGAGCACAGGAAGCAGGGCCAGCATCGGCTCTGCTTGTGGATCTTATTTTATTAGGCCATTTTGTTATGGCTATTGCTAAAAACAAAGCAAAAAAAAAAACAAGAAGCATACTTATCTTATTGCAATGTGTCTTTGCCACACAAGCAAAATTTTTTTTTTCACCTTTGAGATGCAATTTATAAGATTTTATTTTACTTGTTCCTTTTTTATAGGGCATTTATATTGTGCTGGAACTTAGCTGGAATATTTTGAATGTTTTCTCCAACATGTAAGGAGTGCCGTTACCACTTTTACTCTTTGATATGGCATATAGTCTTATTAAAATTTTCAAATAGCCGATTACAAGGGTTCGAAAATATTAAGGCTTCCCATGTTTCAGTTTTTCACGATCATTAACACATTTACGGTAAAAGCTTGTTAATGTAACCCTCATTAGTTTGGAAAATTGGATAATTCAGATGTGTTCTTGATTCCGGCCAGCATATGTATTGTTTAATGTCATCAAACTTGTTAACTTGGTCATATTTGGCCACAAACCGTTAATATGCAGAATGCACTGTGCACGAAGCGCCATCAATATTTGAAAGCAAAAGTTTGAAGACTGCTTTCACGGATGACCAAAATGAGGCAGTGCTGTCCGTGTCGCTATCTCCATCTGTTATAGGGACACTAAAGGCAACTATTAAGTCGACGTTGATTGTTGAAAGAGCGGTCCAGAAACCTTGTAGTGTTACTTTTGTGGCAAGGAAGCGCTTATTTTGAAATAAAATCACCTTTAGTGGTCCGCATCGTGCTAGCGAACTTGAAATTACTCGCCTCAAGAAGCAGACCGTCTCGCGTCACTGTTGCCGTGCACAACATTGCCCGGCTTTACTGCGCGGTCGCCGACACTAGTAGACAGAACGAAAGCGGCGGGAGCCACAGTAGCAACAACGGCCATTAATCAATTTTTTGCCATTGGCTCCGAGATGGCAGACGTGTTTTGGTTCAACTGGGCCCCGCTAGATTGCACGACCTCTCCAGGTTAACTAGACGAAAATTGAAGTTTCGAACCACTCCCACCATTCCCCATAGTAACGTCCGACGGTTCTCTTTTCCATGAATCAAACAGAAACGAACAAGGAGCATTTTACTACATCTCTTGATGCACGGAAAGTTCTTTATTTAGTGCAGCTAGTTCGATTACTAGGGATTAATTGTATGCGGTACCTTTCACGTCTCCGGGATCATTCTGTGAATGTCCTACGTGCAGCGCATGTGTTCTCATGCATTTACCTTAATTTCTGGGTAAGTAGGGCACTGCTGTTGATAATATTGTCATTTTAGACGTCATGCATTGAGCTTTCATTCTGACAAAAATTGTTATTTGAATTTAGTGTCCCTTTAATGACCACGGTAGTGTCCACATGCTGATCTGGCACTCAGCAGCTTGTTTTAACTTCATGCAATGCTCGCGTAATGCCACGAAACTCAAACATAGTGGACGTTGATGATGAAAAGCTTTCAGCTGTGCTCGGAAACTTGGAAAAGAACCCGTTTGCTACATCGTGATGAACTAACTATCAGTTGCCAACCGTTACATGCAAAAGAACTATTGTCACGTACGTGTGGTGGTGGCATTATGTAATCGGGGAGGGGTGCAGAGCATGTTTCGGGCTAATTTAACACGGGAGTCTGGCGCTGTGTTCACATTGAAAATTAAGTCACAGGATGATGAAAACTGCATCTTTTACACTGCTCTTATGCAAAATAAGTACAGTATTTATGTATTCATCAAGAAACTGGAACCGTGTTGTTGTAACAGACATTTGTTTATTGTTTTTTTTGCTACTTACGATAATTGAGCATTCTGTGAGTTCATACATTTTTTGCGGTCCTGTGAAATATGAATCAATGAGCTTTGATTGGACTTTCTACAATTCTATAGTCGATCGATATGGAGGAAGATGAGCCGTTAATGGCTCATAAATACGAGAAATGAGTCGTGCAATGATGGAAAAAAATAGAGGCAAAAATGCCCATGTTTTGCTCATTTTGATGATAGAGAACAAAATCTAGGCAACTCGCTATACAGCATCACAGATAGTTTAGATCACTGAAATAAGTTTGTAATAAACATCCAGGGTTTTGTCACTCTAAGTTGTGTGTTAATAAAAAGTGTCAGAGTTGAATCGCCCCTTAAAGGGCTGCTACGCCTCCTACAGTATTTTTTTTTACATTTCAAATAAACATGTGCATTAAGTTCAGAATACCGTCATGACCAACCATGCCGAATGTGGCAGTGCTATGAGGAATAGACGTGCCACAGTATAGACAAACAGTGCCACGCTCCTCTTCGAGTTTTTCGGTTTCTCCAGCATTAGTTGTGCCATCATTACCTACATGTGGTCATGTCAGCAGCAACAAGAACCTGTTTGTGTGCAGTAGATTTACGTGGGTTGTCTGCTTTTCCTTCTTGTGCAACGAGGGGGAAAAGCGTTCATTGTAGACCTTTGTGCAAGTGCAACAACACAGCTGAAACTCAACTTCTCTGCGGCTTAGCGGCATCTTTAACTCCTTAACTGTTTCATTTTAAAGCTTTCGGGCTAAAGGTGTTTACTTTTTAATCTTTGATCTCAAATAATTTGCTTCCAAAAAGGCATTGCTTGATTGGCAAAAAAAAAAAATCAAGTTTAAGTTAGCTCATATTAGCATAACAAAGTTTACTGTCCCATTGCCTGTTAGCTATGTCTTTCATGTTTCGCGAAATAATGTATTATTTGAGAAACTGGCAAAAATAACATGTCAGGTCATCAAAGTAAACTTTGGTATCTGAATAATTAGCGCCTGAAGAGCTGTACGATTATGGTGTCCTTTTCGAAACTATGCACGAGCAATGCAGGTGTCACCATCATTGCTCATCAATTTCTCAACACAGATAGTTAAAAATTGTGAAATGGCGGTAAAAAAAAAAAAACGGCCAAGCAAGTGCTGCAATCTGTGAAGCGACACATGAACTGGCCTGGAAACGAGAACACTCGTGGGAAAAATATCTCTTGCAGATAAGGCACACTCGTCCAAAACGGTTTGGGCACAGTTCAGCAAGGACGAACTGTGCTCATCCCAAACAGTTGTGTGGTCAAGAAGCAAATTTGCTTCATCACAGTTAACCTGACACATTTACAACCATTGCTGGTTGTGGCTTTCACAATGGAACGGCCATGGTCAGCAAAGGAAGGCACCCGAAACACGGCGCAGTCTTTGGCTGTGCTGCGGTTCCATTATGAACAACTAGCCCGGGTTTGTCTTGTTATGGCTTTCACTTCTGGTATTGTAAGTGTGCATCTATCCCTGGCAGCAAACAGTGCAACAATTTCAAAACATTGATGATGAGTTGAATCAATGATCAACTGGCCATAACTATGAAAAGCTGAGGATGCAAAATGAAGCACCCAGAACAAACTTTTTATTCCATGCAAGGCCATGTGCCCAGACGTAACTTCAACGATCTTTGTAATGTTGAGGTAAAATGAAAATAAGCCCTTCTACATATCCTCACAACTGTCTTCTTGGCTAACGCTTATCAGATTTAGTGGGTTGATTGAAATTTGAGGCATCATTTTTTCGAACAGAACATCTATATTGAACATAGTGCCACAATGTTGAGCTTAGTGTGATGCCATTTCCTTCTGCAGCACACTGCTGCTGGACACAAGTAACCACTCATCATTCAACAACAAAAATTTTAATGTCCGAGATGAAGGAACAGATGCTCTCAACATGTGCTCTGGCTTGTCAATCCTTCAAGGAAATGCCATCGTATTTGTCGAGTACGTTCCGAGAGAGATTCCGCTCCATTGGCAGCGCACTGAAATGCTCAAGAGCAGAGAGATGCTGAAAGTTGAGTACATAACTGACTTCAGTGCAACTGTACAAGACAAAATTTTAGTGGGAATGATTTTTGTATCACAGGATTTTCCTTTGAAAGAATAGGAAGATGACTAGAATAAAAGGAAGAGTATGCATGTTGTTGTGTGCAACAGGTATTGCATAGTTCCCACAATCACAGCAAGGTTCAATGTATTCCAAGCAGCACATTGGCATCTTTGGCTAAATCGACCATTCACCAGTGCTGCCAGGATGCGATTGAGCATTTTGTAAACCCCTGCTGGAAGCAGTTCTGTCAACACGGTTTTGTCTCTCAGAACATGCAGATTTCTCAAGATGGAGAGATTTCTCTTTGGGAGCTCGCATAGCTACTCTGACAGGTGACCACTCAGGAAACTCCTCACAAAAAGAAGGCACAAGACCTGCAGGTCACAAGAAATATCCTGACTGGCCCCTTAGAGGTCTCCCTACAAGCCGAGCCAACAGAAGAGAGACGCTATGTGTATATGTGCAACCTGCAACTGTGTAAACATCGGTGCTGAGGCTCTGCATAACCACAGTGCTGTGACAAGGGTGCCAGAGCACTGTCACAATGCTGGCCAACAGACCTCAGTTTTTCTCCTTGAATTGTTGTAGCCGTGTTGTTGCTATGCCTGTACTAGTGGCATAGACAAGCCTTTTTGGTCACACACAATTTAGTGATTAATGCAACTGCTGCACAGCGTGTGCAAGAACATATGTCGGAAGTAATGGTCATCGGCTTGAGAAAACAGTCCTTTTAAGGGTCACATAGTTTAGCATAGTGCAATTGGACTTCGGAACTGAATAAAAATTGGCAGCGCTTAAGTGAAAATTTTGACAGGCCCAATCAGTTTGTGGAACTGCATATTTTACATATGCTGCATGTCTGATCTACCAATTTCTTAGTCAATGGTTAGAGAACTATGGAAGAATTGACTTGTTGCCCTAAGAATAGCATTTTGTACATTACAGCTAGGATACTGCAATGTTATGCACTGAGAAGGCTATTGTGCTTGTGACGGTATTTGAAGAGCCGTTGAGACAAACAAAATAACACCATGGCTGCCAAGGCTGGTGCCAGGAATCTTGTTTTTACATTAATGCCTACTGCGGCTTAGCTGCTGCAGTCCGGCAACAGCCGAATGTGCCGACCAAGGGGTCAAATATTTGTCCAAACAAGTCACTGCTGTGCCCTCTGTTTGGATGACATGTGCACCTCACTGTGCCATCAGATGGGAGAGGACCATCTTCGGTTTACTGTCCACAACATGATCACTGCAACAGGCTTGTCCGTTCCACAAGGTGAGTTGTTCCAGGCAGGAGCACCGGTTTCTGCAGGGGCCCCTACTGGCCAAGGCCCTTGATGCTGTGCAGCCAGATGAGGCCCTTGCACTCCTCGAGGTAGATGTCCGGGATGAGTCCGTACGCGGGGCCCAGGTTGGGCATCTCGACCATCTCGACGCTCGAGGTTCCGAACAGCTGGATCTCGTAGTCGATAAGCTGTCGGAAGAAGCCGTTGTTGGGGTGCACCACGGGGCGCCGTGCCTTGAGGTAGCGGAACGCGTCGCGCAGCCGCATGCGGTGGTACTTCATGAGGTATGCCAGGCAGAGCGTGGGCGAGCGCGAGGCACCGGCCATGCAGTGCACGAGCACGCGGCCGCCGCGCATGTGCACGTTGTGGATGTGCTCCGACATCGGGTCGAAGTAGACGGACATGTCGTAGTAGGGCGAATCGTCCACGCGCACGCGCAGGAACTCGATGTTGTCGGCACCTATCGGCATGTCGGGGAGGTCGGTGCTGCAGTTGATGATGGTCGTTATGCCGATGGTGCGCACTGCGCTGAGCGTGATGGCACGGAAGCCGCTCAGGTACAGGTAGTCGGTCACCTGGGAGATAATGTTGAACGCCATCCTCCGCAGCAACGCCGCCGACACCTGCGCAGACGAGAAGTCGTCAGCCGTTTTCTCCCGAGTGAAACATGTGCCCATAGATGCGCCAGGTCATTTCAGTTCCGACGTTCACGAGGAAGCTCGCGCTATCGTCACGTGCACGCGGCAGAAAATTTTCGCATCGTGCACTGTTCCGCGTGAACGCAGTGTTCGATATAGTTTTTTTCAAATGCGCCTCATACGCGTAATTTTGCACACAATCGAGCTGCTAGCCTCGTCTTTTGTTTCATCCCCCGGTAGTCCGCTTTTGTTGACGAAGCAATGGTTTCGGTTTCACACGGTGATCAATCGCGCTTTGTGTACGACCACAACCTGATAATAAATCTCAGTCGAATAACTGTGCATATGAATTATCAGCATCTGATCAGAAATTAACGACATGCGTGGTGAAAAGTTAAGAAGAAAAAAAAAAAAACCAGAGGGCACTTATCCAATACATAGCATCCAATTCAACGTCAGGTCAAACGACACGCACCTGACGGGGAAGCCGGTGTCGAATTGTTTGCACTGGCAGTCGCTCGTTGAACCTTGGCTCAGAGGCCTGTTGAGCCATTGCAGAGGCAGCGGCCGTCCGTCATGAGGAGGCGGGGACGGGGGCTCGCGGACCCACGGGTGCCCGATCAGCCCTCGAAAGGCCTCCACTGCCGAACAGGCGGGTCGCGAACCCCTACGCTGCGAAAAAGGCGGGCACTGCTCTCAGCGACACCGAAACGGTCTTTCTGGGAGATTTATCTAGTTTCGCATCGAGTTTCGAACCTTAGTTCATCGTGAGGAGCGGCAGCCGCCGGCCCTACCTTCGCATTCAATGGAAGCTCCGACGGCTCCGACCCGTTGGATAAATGAATGTGCTCGGCTTGGATCTGCTTCGCCTTCGACTTCACGTGCAAAGGCAAAGCGTCAAACTGCTTCAAACCACAAAGTGTTGCAGAACTCTACGCTTCAACTAACTTTAACCTATGGATATATAACTACCATGCTTCAACTACCAATATTACGTAAACGTTTGCGATTTTAGCGACGTCTTTATTGAAAGGAAAAGCTTACATTTCTTTGAAAGTTTATTTTGTTGTTTGAAAAGGTCAGTAAAAACGCAAAATAGTTGCAGTATCTTTTCTTCTTTTCTTTAAAGACTGCAAGACACAGTGGTCGCAACAGCGTGTGAAATAGCTAGGTGTTCTGTGCTATGGATCTTGCCGATCATATGCCGTGCCTCTTCACCTGTTGACATATGTTGCTGTTTCCATTGTGCGTGTCGTGAATCCTGGTGTGTTGTTAGATCGCATTCAACTTATTTCCAGAGCGCAATTATGGTCGATGATGCTACGAGAAAAACACTTAGTGGCATCCCATTGCTGAGAACTAAAGCCGGGCCACGCGACAAGGATCTGTGGCCCTCACGACTAAAGGAGGAGTACCAAGCGCTGATCAAGGTGAGATAATTTGAATAAGTGCACTCTCACTTTGCGAACCCGCCGCAATGTATTTTGAATCGTTCAAGCTGCCAGATTTCATATTATATCTGTTCCGAACTCAATCTAATCAACGCACTGCATAGCTGTGTTCAAGGAAGTACTTCGCAACACTTTCTGTTCGTACACGCTAAAACACTTCATTGTAGGGCTCCTGAAAGCAGGCGTGCTTTGGCAAAGATTTATTTACAGAGCCGACAAATGAACAAGCAACGTTCGCGGAACGACACACAATTTTCCGCCGTTTTGTCTGACCCAGAAGTAGTGCTATTTGTTGCGCGAGATTCCTTCAGTGTTTCCGTGTCGGCAGTTGGTAAAGCACTCGTTTTGTATGCGCAGTACGTGCAGAACAACAAGGAGAATGACAATGACTGGTTCCGGCTCGAGTCCAACAAGGATGGTACTCGGTGGTTCGGCAAGTGTTGGTACATCCACGAGCTTCTCAAGTACGAGTTCGACGTGGAGTTCGACGTGAGTGATCCTTGTCTTTGACCACTAAGACATCTTTGGCCAGTAAGCATCTTTAGTTCTATCCTTCATACTGCTCACGTATCTGTTCCTGTCAGAATATGCATGAGTTACTTGTTAGGCAGGAAACATATGATTTACTTAGTTTCAGTTACAGCGTAACGCACCACAACACACAACCCTACGTGAAAGGAATGTTTCAAAACAATTCTTACTAGGCTAGTGTGCAGGTCTAGGCCCCCGAGCTAGCAAAAGTGCAACAATATAGTACTGTAGCAACCGTTGGAAATTAGTGGTGAGAGCTACGTGAAAGCATCCTAGCAGATGTTGTGCTGAGGCACTTAGCTCTATGCAGTGATGGAAGTGCTGCTCCAAAAAAGAAATGATGCTCCAAAATGCAATATTTGTTTGTAACTGTTCCGAAATGGTGTTGGGGAAACTAAAAACAATGAAGTTAAACCATGTGACCATCTAGCGAGCCTAAAATAAGCTGTGTCCTGTCATCTAGTTAGCGTACAGCTTGTACAGGAGCTGTGTACTAGAATATTGAAAATGCTACACGTACTATCGTTTTCTATATATATCTGATATAGTTCTATATTTGTACCTTACAAGCAGACTTTTTTGGAGAAATGCATGCGAGACTTCTTAGTTATAGTAGCTGCTGCTGTGAGGGCTTTATTGTATATGCGTCTGATTACATTTAGCACTTTCATCACCTTTGACCATGTTTATGTCACAAGAACAAGCAGTTTAAATGTTAGTTCATTTAGCTTATTTGAATTCTTAAAATTTGAATGCTGGCTATTTTTGCAAAGTAACAAAACACATACTGGTGTTCAATGACCGTCCATTTGCTTAATTATGTTTCTTGCAGTTTGCAGTGATTAATAAATGTGCAATATGTTTAATAATAAGTATTGATATTTATAATAGGCTTAAATGATGCATTAAGCTCCAGGAGTCATTGTAAATATTTTGCTGTCTGCTCCAAAAAGATAAATAACTGCTGCACGCTAGAACTTTTTCTGCTCCAAGAACAATCAAGGTTGCTCCAAAGCGCCATTTTTCCTGCTCCGGAATCTGCTTTAAAAATAAAAATGTCGCTTTCATCACTGTCTATGCATCAATGCTGTGACGTATAAGCGTCTCACACTGCACTCAGCTGGTGATTTTTAGTCTCACCGTGCGACGGCATAAGGGGCATGCAAATGTGTTCATTTTACCTGCACTTATGGTTATACCATTATATGTTCTGCTTCCAGCTACTTAGAAGTGCTACCCATGCCACAGTTCTTTTTTTAAGCGTACTCTTTACAGGCACAATGCACAACAAGCGTACTCTTTACAAGCTATTCTGCACAATGTGTCCCGAATAGCAGTAGTACTTTTCCCAGCTCAAAGTGGTGCTACAGGGGGCCAGGATGCTTACTCATCTCACACAATTGCACTGATACTACAGGCATTGCTCGAGTGCCCATATAATTACTGTTGTGATTAAATGCCAAGAGAGGAAAGCTTGTTCTGGGATAGTTGGTTCTTGAATGCATAGTATAGCTGATAAGATTAATATAGTTGGCTGGTGTCGTTTTATTGTCCCAAAGATTCTGTAGTAGAGGACTCCAGATAATTTGATCAGCCGGGTAATGTGAGCTGATGTGACACAGTACATGGGCCTCTGGCCTTCTGCTCCTTTAATTTTTGAGAATCTATAATCTAACCAGCACTCTGGATTTTCTTTATTGGTAGCACGTGTGATGAATTATGAGGCATTCAGAAGGGACAGAGAGAAAAAGCAGGGAAATTTATTAAATGCTAGTTTCCAGCCTGCTGTATTGTACTGAGCTGGGAATCAAAAAGAGGGCAAAAGCATGGGTCTGTAATTTGTTGCACGAGAGCCTCTGTAATGCTTTCACAAGTTTCTGTCGATACTGTAGAGCTCTGATTTCTAACAGAGGCCGATTCTCGAACTTGTTTAACATGTTCGAGAGCAGCTGTGTCCTCAACATATTGCAGGCATTGCATGAAGTTTGATATTTGTTTTTCTAATTACCACAGTGGTTACAACATGTAGTGTCTGTTGTCTTCATGTTGACTGAACAGGCATTCGCCATCACAACATTTACCACTAGTCAACAGGGAATGGTTATGCGTCTTCATTGAAGTCTTGATGTAAATAGAAGCTGTTTAAGATAAAACACTGGGAGTATAATTTTGCATGTCCCTGAAATGTGGTTTGTTCCATTTAGTGGTTGGCATGCAAGCTTGCGTGACTTCTTTGCACCATCTTAGGAATCAGGATTGGTAAATGTTGGCCTTCTGATTTGGATAAATGGGCAGTTGGCTGGGAAATTCATTGCTGACAATACCGCAGATACTTGGTACATACTGAAAAATGACGGGGTGTCTATTTTCAGTTGTTTAGTGTACAATCCCTACGATATCAAACGCCAGCTGTTCCTGTGGATTGCACTTTAATGCTACCAGTAATTACGATTGTGCTGCATTCATATTTAAACAGACAAATCATTTGTGTGTTGATTTGTAGATAATATAACGTAGCACGACACAAAGAGCTGCAAGTTCTGTTGCTGCCAACAGTAATTAACGTCTCACAGATTTTTTGTATATTCAAAGTAACTTTTACTGGGAATTTCTGTGCACAGATTCCGGTGACATACCCAACCACAGCCCCCGAAATTGCATTGCCATCGCTGGATGGCAAAACAGCAAAGATGTACAGGTGAGGCATCTGGAGTGTTACAATTGATTTGTTGGTGTGTCCAGCAGATGCATTTCAGAATCCGTTGTTAAATACCCAGGCTTCCTGTGCGCTTGTCGTTACAGTAGTAAATTCAAACATTACGTATCTCTCTTTTTACTTGTTTAGTTTTTTATCCACATACAGTAAGATCTTGTCAACTCAAACTTGGAGAGGACTATAAAATTGTTTGAATTAAGTGAAGTTCAAATTAGCGGGCATGTGCTAGAATAAAGAGAAATTGCATCACACTGCGCAGACAAAACCCAAAAAAGCCACGTCTGGACTTGTTATCATGAATGAGGCACTACTGCACGTTTGTGGCAGAAGCTTTTTATGAAAAGCGAGAGGAATTTTTGATCAGGCATTGATATGCACGAAACAAGCATAAGCATGCAGTCATGTGAGCTGTGTGCTTTAGTGTCAGAATATGTGACAGTGTTTATCCTTCGAAACAAGTTTATTATATGGCAGAGTTAACGCTATCAAAAATAAATATGATCAGTGATTACCATTTACTTGAGTTTCTTTTATTGCAACTCCATGAGCGTCGTTTGCAGCTTGTCCAAGAGCTCCAGTAGAGTGTCTGAATTCTCATCAGCTGTGAAAAACTGGGGCTTCGTTGTTTGCATCATACTGATTGAACTTAGTTTCATTTTGAAACAAATTGTGATCACTTTGACATTTGGAGGAGTGGTGAAGGTCGGGGCCTCCCAGTTCGAATTAACCATTGTAGATACCAATGCGTTCGAATGATCGGGACTGCATGTTAGAAACAGGATCTTTTTCATCGAGTAAGAAGGTTCAGTCGCTTTGCTCTGGACATCGATTCACAATGCTCTGAATGCCATGAAGAGTGTTGCTCATTAGCTCCCATGCTCTGACAATATGCTCTGGAAATGTTTGGCGTTACAAAATGCCTCTTTTAATAAACAAGAGGACTTGAAGAAAGCCCCCAGAAGCAGTGATCTCCATAAACAACTAAGGGCTGTCCAAAGGGCCCGCGAACGGGCGGAGGACCATTGTCTTACTGCCCCAATGTGGGCGCGGCCTGCAACTACGACTCTGTAGTTCCGTAGGACCCAAATCAAGTTTGGTGACTGACTGACTGATCG